CTGCTTCCTTCTACAAACTAACTTTACCTTCATTGTTTGAGAATAAAGGTGTGTACTAAGGACATGTCTATATTCCAGCCAGAGGGATTAAAGGTGTGTGCTAAGGGCTGAGCGACACCACGACTAGAAACAGGTTCAAATACTCTCCCGCTGATCGCACTGCAGCCACTGCCAGGACATTAAGACCATGAGCTTAGTTGTAGCCAAGTCTGCACTCAGTGCTCTGGATTTTAAAAGCCTCCACAATATTTAAGATACAAACAAAACCCATAAAAGTAAGGGAAACCAGAGCAGGTCGTCAGGATGACTGCTAACACAGTGTGGCTTTCAATTTGTTGGATAGCACACCTTGTAGTTTTACCTGTTGGCAGAGCTGAGGTTGGAACCCAGGCTCTCATACATGCTAGGCAAACATATGGTCATTGAGCCACATCCCAGCCTCTGTTTCTGAAAGCATAGGTGGAGTCTGATTTACTGGTGACTGTGCAGTTTCCACGGGGCTGTTTACTCAAAGGTCAGTGCCTGTCATTGCTACGGAACCCTTGGGTGGGAGGAGTAACCCTTGGCCCCATGTCAGTCAGTAATCTCACAGCCTCCAGGGCCTCCTAAGCATGAGCTCAGTGAGCAGGAGTGCATCTCCCTTCCTGGAGATGATTTCCTGATCTTTTATTAGCATTTATGTCTTGGTCTCTTTCCTTCGGCCACAAAAACACATAGCTTTTCCTGTTTGAGGTGAATGTCCTTGAAAAGATGAGTAGGGAAAGATTAGCAGCCCACTGTGCACCCCAATTCAGGAAATAAGCATTACTGTAATCAAGATGCTCTGCTGGAAAGGAACACTGGTAAGTAAGACAGTTGTCTCCAATGCGCTCTGGAGGGAAAGGGTAAACTGTGTAGTGGGGAGAGGGGGGTAGATGCCTGTAACAAATACCTGGGAAGCTGAGGCAGGGGGACCAGCAGTTTGAGGCTGTACCGTACAGGATGGGGGGAGAGGAGGGAAGCATAAAAACAGTGTCCTCTGTTAATGGAAGGCAGATCATAATAACAGGGGAGAAGGATAGTGTGGGAGGGGGGACTCACAGGAAGAAATGGTGACATCAGATATCTGAAATCTTGGCTGGGTGGGGGTTTGTTACTGCACAGGCAGAAAAGAACCGGAAGTGTTCGGTAAATCTGGGCATCGCAGGGCTGAACCCTTATAGCAGCTTGAGAATTGTCTAGACCTATCAACTAGAACCAGACCGAGCGCTGAAGTTAGCACCCAACTTTGAAACTGACAGTTGTAAACGTCGGGCTACAAAGCACACAAAGTGAGGTTTTCATGACAGACTTCTTGTCTCTCAGTTCTGACAATTCTGAGGCCATGGTCTCGGCAAGGCTGGTTTTCTCTGAGGGCTGTGAGAATCAGTTCCAGATGTCACTCCCAGCTTCTGGTGGTTCACAAGCAATCTTCTGCAGCTGTGACTTTGAGGCGTGCTACCCAACTTCTGCCGCCATTTTCCTGTATGTGTGTCTGTGTCCAATTGTCCTCTTTTTTTTATTATTTTTATGAGAACACAAGTCATATTGGATTAAGGCCTACCATAACGACATTTTCATTTATTTTTGTACAGACATCTCCAAATGAAGGCATCTCCTGAGCTACGGTCCCCTTGTAGCTTATGGTCCCTCTGCAGTCCTCCTTCAAACCATGCTCCTCTCTGGAAGCCTGCAGATGCAGGGTGTCCCTGACGACAGAAAGCAGCTCCGGCATGCATACTATGCACTGGTCTACAGAGCATCTCCTCACACCTCATCTCCCCAATCTTCATAATAATTCTTGGAGGTAGAAAGGCACACATCCATTACCTGCATGCGCACCATCTGTGGGGTCACAGAGGTCCAGTGAGATAAGAATCCCACCAGAGGTCAAATGGCAATAAAATCCAGCATTTTGAATTACAGCTCTAATTTCATTCCATGATTTACCAAACTCAACAATCACTTTTAGTTGTTCTTCATGTCCAAAAACAAAAAAAAACAAAAAAAAAACAACAACAAAAAAAAACCCCTGCGCCAGCTGCAGCTAGCTACTGAAGACACACTAACTGAACACACAGGCATGTTAACGGTGGTGGAGGTGGGGGTTGGGGGTAGGGAGGTTATCTGTGAATTCAAGGTAGAGGCATGATGGGACTGTGAATGAACAAGGGACACTGAGTCTCATTCACCCAGTTCAAGACCAACTTCCTATGAAGATGATTCCCACATCTTTTGTGGGGACTCACATTTAGCAATCTCTCATTTCTTTTATAAAATGTTACGATCCAATAATATTACCCCTGAGAAAATCCATACCCAGGCCCCATGCCACCTACTCAGTGGCTGTCATTCTCACATCAGCCACCGTTTCAGAACACAAGGACAGCTCCATTAGACAAGGTGTTTTTAGACATGCTGGGACTTTAGACCCGCCAGTGCTTCCTGACTCCATGGTACTTTGGGGTTGTTTGGGGAGTGAAGATTCAAATACAATCATTTGATATGGAATAGTCAGAATCTATAAGGTAACTGAATACCAAAACTGTAAATAACCTGACTTTAAAGATGACCAAAGTCCCAAGTAGAGGCTTTTCAAGAGAAGACATGAAAATGACTCAGAGGTGCATAAAAGATGATGCCTATGGTTCCAGTCATCAGAGAAAGGAAATTAAGACAAGGAGGTACTGAGGAAAAAGCAAGCATTGGATATGGGAGAAGGAACCTTGTGTACCAGTGATGGCAATGTAAATTAGTTTTTATTATATTTTTACTGTGGTAGTGGTTGTGGTGGCTCTGCTAGAACTTGAGTCTTTGCTGGAAGGTAGATTGCTTGCATCTACCCTATTGCCACCAATGGAGCTGCAACGATCTTCCATGGAGATTAGAACCCAGATTCTTTGGCTTGAACATACACTGAAAATCAGCTGCTCTCCAGAAATCCCCTGGGCCTTCAGTGATGGAGTGGGACTGACTCATGACCTGAGCAGCCAGTGCTGGCTCCCAGCTTCCCCTGTGTGCAGCCAGCCAGTGTTGGGCTACTCAGGTTGTGTTAGCCAATCTGATTAGTGAGACTCCTTTGTGTTATATATTCATTCTATGGCTTCTTCTCTAGAGAACCCTGATACAGTAACTATACAGAGACTAATTATCTTGGTCATGGTAATCATTTTACCGTGTGTATATCTACCAAGGTATCAAACTGTATATATACCTCAAAGATATACATTCAGAAGTTTCTAGGAAAAAGCAAGAGACTTCAAATTCCTGTTAAAGGGTCATCAAGTAATCATAATGGATACTTAGCAGTTAACTGAACCTACTGTTAACTAAGTAGCAAACTAAATTAAAGCAAGTCGATTTTAAAAGAATGACAATGCTTGGCAACTTTGCCAAGAACTCACACACTACCAGATGGAAAACCCAGAGCTGGGTGCAGTGAACCCACCTTTAATCCCAGTACCTGGGAGACAATGAGCAGACAGATCTCTGTAAATTCAAGGACAGCCAGAGCCACACAGTGAAATTCTATCTCAAAAACAAAACAAAACCCCAGGATTCTAACTGTGGTGATTTAAATAAGAATGCCCCACCACTATAGGTTCCTATACTTGAATGTCTGTTTAGGAAAGATTAGAAGTATGGGCTTCTTGAAGGTGGAGGTGTCACTGGGGGGTTGACCTTTGTGATTTCAAAAACCCCCATTAGGCCCAGTCTCTCTTGATCTCTGGCTCTCTGCCACCTGTTTATGGATCAGATGTGGGCTTCCAGCTGCTGCTCTGCCTGCCTCCATGGTTTCTGCCATGATGATTATTGACTAACGCTCTGAAACCCCTAATTAAATGCTCTCTTTTATAAGCCGCTTTTATGGTCGTCTCTTCACGGCAGTCGAACAGTAAGACACTAGCCCAACAGGTCCCAGGCCCTCCTCTTGGCACAAGCTTGCTGTTTTCCAGGGTGTGGACTCCCTCAGTCACTTTCACACTTTTGTGTTTACTTCAACTCAATGATTATCTAAATCAGACATTGTTAAGTGGCGGTAATATAAAGATGTTTGTGTCTATAACATACTAATGGGAAAGGCAAGCACTACAGAACTAACTAACTGGCTCATAGGACACAAAGAGGGGAGCCTACCAAAAGCCTGGGAGAACTGACCTAGTTTGCTTGGGCCAATGACCTCAGGGCTGTGAATCCTCTCTTCTGATCCTAGCTACCCAGCTTGGTGCTTCACATGGGGCTAGGAGGCAGAGGTAGATTCTGCATGGTATCTTCAGAACCACTCTGATGTAGGTTAGGGCCTGTCCCTGGAGAGGTACTTCATGTCTGAGGACTTCACTTTCTTGGACAAAGGGAGTATCACAGAAGTGCTATGGTCTGAAGAACCAGGAGGCTAAAAGTGCCTAAGAACCTGGCCAGTGTTATTCACGGAACTGGCTTTGGGCTCAGCAGACGTAAAATAACTCCCACAGGTGTTAGATCACAGTGCTCTAACTGAACATGTGATATGAAAATTCTAGGAAAGAAAACTAGATGTGGTAGTCTACACATGTAACAGCTGAAGCAGAGGATCATGAGTTTAAGAATGGCCATGTCTACCCAGGCAGACTTTGTTTAAAAACAAAAAAACAAAACAAAAGCAACAACAAAAACAAAGTCCTATAACAGTAAAGCTTTGTGCAGAGCCACGGCTCCTCGGCTCCCCACATCAGGATGCACAGACCTAACTCAGGATCCCAGAGCCCGGGCTGCTGCCTTCGGCCCGAGCTCTGAGGTTCGGACGTTTATTTCTACAGTGCTGTTCTTACACAGAGCTCCCAGACAATCCGATCACACACACTCAGCGAAGTCGGGCCTTCTAATGTAGTGACTCCAGCCTGATTTAGAGTGGCGCTTGAAACATCCACTTGTTTCGTCTATCCTGGATGAAGTTATTTGTTGATACCCTTTCCCCCAAGAATAAAATACCACTGAGAAAATAATTATTGACAAAGCATAACTTGTCCACTTTTATTGTACATTATTTAAAGCTGGTAGGGCTATAAGCCAACAGGGAGATGTGTGGTTTGTCACCTGATCACCAATGAGCCTTCCTGGAATCTAAGTACTAGTGTATGCTCGTGGAACAAGTCACTGGCTTCTGAGAAGCTGTCCCACTGGGCTTACTGTTACTTCAGGCTAAGAGTCTACTATTGGATTCTCATTTCCAAGGGAAGCACCAAGGATCCTAGTTGACCACGCCCTTAAGGTTAGCCACACCTCCTCCAGCACTGACTTAGCGCAGTCCTCCAGAGTCAAAGGACTGGAGAGCACATGGTCTCACCTGCTCTGGTTAAAACCAATAAGGAAAGAAGTCCTCTCCCTCCTAGCCTCTCTCCCTCGAACCCACCAAGAGCCGTGTGGGTATGGACATAAAGCTGGCGGAGGGACACGTGGGAGGGAGGCCGAGTGCCACAGGCTCCTGCGTTCCACAGTCCTGACCTCAAGTACACAGTGCAATATTTGAAACGGCTCCTGGCACACTGCTGAGACAACAAAAGGGACCGGAGGCCAGGGCAGTGGCTGCTTCCCCCATCTTCACAGAAGTCACTTTAACAATAACTACATGATAGGTGACCAGCCCCTTCTCTACATGCCTGGTCATACTTGTGCCAAGTCATGTACACATGTATACACATATATAAACACATACACAGATAAATAAATAAATGAGTAAAAAAATAATCTGGGGATGGTACCCACAATTCTCATCCCAGCGCTAAGAAGAATCACTAGGCCACACTGGCCAGCCAGCCTAAGAGGTGAGCCCAGGCCTCAGCAAGAGACCAGTCTCAAAGCAAGGCTCCTGCAGAGTGACACAGCTGACTTTTAGCTTTCACATGCACATGTGCACACACAAAATTAAAATACCAATACTACACTGTAGTGACAACTGTAAAATAAGTTAAGACCTAGGTGCGACCACCTGGATTTACAATAGTGTATTTTTTCACAGACTTCTTCATCCGCTTGATTTTCTTCTTCAAGGTTTCATGATCTTGTTTTAAAATATACCGAAAATATTTACAACCTAAAAAATGAAACAAGTAAGAAAAAGTTTTAATATTTATCAAATTATTAAGAATACTTCTACATTTTAAACTTTTCTTTAGTCCTGGAACACCAATGATTCTGAATGTAGATTGGTCTGTGTCATGTACACCAATGTGGCTTAGGTGTCCTGTTAAAGCCTCACCAGTGAGGCCGGACCACTTCACGGGCATGGCTCACCCACAGTCAGAGCAAGCACGTCCCCTCTACCCTTCCTCCTAAGCCTAACCATGGCGAGGTGCATGTTACACATACCCACTTATTTAGCGAGCCTCCTGAGAGCTGATTCACCCTGACCCAGCTGAGGGCTCCCACTCCGTCCCAGTCACTCCTGAAGCTCCCAAGCACCAGGGCAGCCCAAGGACAGAGGAACGAGGGCCCACTTTCTAAAAGATCAACAGAAAACTGACCACAGACCTTTCCCTAAAAGGACTCCAGCTACAAAAGCTTTCTCACAAGCCAAATCAGCGTCTGCCTTCCAGTCACTCTTTGCCCAAAAGAAGCTGAAGTGAAAGGCGGGCCACCAGTTTCTCCTAGATTTCCATTCTTCTTCAACCCACTCGGGATGGCTTCTGAAAAGAAACAGGACAACAGGGAAGTCAGTGAAGCGATGCGGCTGTGGTCAGAATCTGAATGTGAGCAGTGTCTAACAACAACACGGAAGACACTTCCAAGCTGACTTCCATACATGCTCTCAGCAGTAGCGTGGGGGCAAGCCCGAGATCACTCTTTTTGTAAACATCCCATTTCCACTTCATAGCCAGTGCACTGCACCAGAGTGATCAACAGCAAGAATGCTGAATAAAATCCAGGACTGAAATCTCAGCTCCCTCATCTCTGATATGATCCTGAGCAAGCTGCTAAGCTTTCTGAGCCTCACTGTCTTGGACAGTGGAAATGGCTGTTTCCTGGCATTTTTGTTAGAAGCAAACCAGTCCAACAGTGCAAAGCAGATCTCTTAAAGCTCCTCACAGTGTCTGCTGCAGAGGAACTTGTAGCTATTACTATAATCACTTAAAGAGACTTTACAAGCCTAGATAAAATTATATGCTACCGAAATTACTCTACCAACTCAGATGCCATTATTACACAAACATACAAATACATAAGCCTGATGCTGAACTAAGCAAACTAAGTGTTCCCCAACGACCTGGGTTAATGTGCATTTAAGGCCTGTAGCTGCCCCTGTGGTAGAACTTCTAGATTCAACATGTGAACAGTGCATTTCTTGAGCTACAGGAACCCTATGATCTAGTAGGTATTTAAATGGTTCTAGATCTATCTATACAGTGATTGACCGTGACTGTGCTAACCTATCACACTGTTGTTAGTGTGAATGCATTCATCATCATATGCAGAAGTGTAGGGACCATTACAATGAGGTGAGGTGCTGTGCAAGGCCTAGGAGCTGAGTCATTGGGACATTGTAAGTTAGAGCCTTGTAAGAGCCCCAGACAGAGCCCTGTCCCTTTCAGTAGGGGAGCACAGCAAGAGGGCATTGGGAACCAAGAAAATGGGCTTTGCTGGACACTAAATCTGCTGGCATCTTCTCCTTGGACTTCTCCATTACCAGAGCTTTTTAAGAAAAGAAAAAAAAAACTGTCTTAGGATTTATTCCTCTATCTTCAGGGCTGTTGAAACACGGTGCAAACATGTGAGGGGAATTCTGTACACAGTGAGAAATCTCCCAGAAAACAAGTCAAGAGTCTTGGTGACCTCAGTTCTTCAAAAACTTAGAACTGTGTGTGGAGTGTGTTTTGTGCCCCTCGAAGGTGTAGCAGATAGGAGCGAATGTACTTCAGCTGCTGTTATCCTATCTAAGAAAAAACATGGTTTTAGCATGAGTATCTTGTCCTTGTGGTTGTACACTTAACTCAGGTGACTCTCCTTAACCCTCTGAGTATAAACTGTCTGATGCTCTGAATAAAGTCGGCTATTGCATGAGTCTTTAGTCCGCCTTGTTTTCAGGCCCTGGTCTCCCCGGTTCACGTTGCCAACTAGAGCAGCAAACACAGGATAAAGTCAGTTCCGAAGTCCACAGCAAGTATTCTCAGACACAGGATTTCTTCACCAGCCAAAATGGATATGACATTTAAATAAAGCTTAATTCTAGGAGGCCTCTCCCTCACATACAGAATTCGTGTGAGCAGGGCCACGCCTTTTCTCTTACCCAGAATGTAGTGCTAACCATGACAAGACACTCATGCTAAAACCATGTTTTTTCTTAGATAGGATAACAGCAGCTGAAGTACACTCGCTCCTATCTGCTACACCTTCGAGGGGCACAAAACACACTCCACACACAGTTCTAAGTTTTTGAAGAACTGAGGTCACTAAGTATGGTGACCAATGTAGTGCTAACCATAAGCCCTTTAGATGCAGCATCAGACACTGCCTTTCCATGCATGCACTTTAAGATGCAGCACTGAATTTGCTAACATGAAATATACTCATGGAGTTTTTGTATGTTGGGCTTATGACTTTGTACTTCCTAGCTTCTGATACTCAACACAAAACAAAAACAAGCAAGCAAAGAAAAAAAACCCTAAATATCCTTCACAGGAAATTCAAAAGCACTAAGTAAAAAACTTTAAAAGCAACAGCTAAAATATGGGACTACTGCTTATGATGAGCAGTGATAAATGCTGTTTCTCACGTACTCCACTAATGTCTGCTTCAGATACTTTGCCAAGTATTTCCAGGCCGTTATGTTCTTAGTGCATCCAGCAAAGTCCAGGACTTCAAATAACACGGCCAAGCCCAGTTTCCGGTGTTCTTCTGTCTCTGCAACGGTCACAACAGTCCAAGCTTACAGACAGCACTAGAGAAGTGACAGCGCTGAGAAGATACATCGAGTTAATGACGCACTATGAACTGCAAGTCTTCTGGATGGTTAACTGTTGAAAACAATTCATTGTGCTCAAAGTCCCGTGATGAGCTGAAGGTTAATGACGTCAGGACAGTGAGCCTCCTCTGGAGGGTATACCGCTGTTTAAATACCACCTGCCCTATTTGGCATTTTGGTAAATACAGGTTGAGACCTACAGACTTTGTAGCAACTGGCTTAAGTAAGCTGACTTCCTTTTAAGACATGTTCTCTACTATACTGCCCTGACGCCCTCAAGGGATCAACAGAGGCAAATCACAGAAAGGAAAGGCATTCCTGCTCCCTAAGGCTCTCTGTTAGGACCAGACGGTAAGGATGTTGAGCTCTGTCAGCTGTAGATGCAGAATCTCCAGCAGAGCCACAGGCTCTACAGTCACAGTGCACCATCAACCACAGCATCGAAGGAGCAGGAAGGGTGCAAGTGAACTCAGCTTGTGAAAGCAGGTGATGAATACATGTGGCCCCAGGTCATAGATGGCGGATCCTTCATCTAGGCTCTATGCACAGAGTATAAAACACAATTTTACCTGATTTTCTAAGCAACGTATGGAATTCTAACATTAGTGTATGGGATGGCACAATCTCATGTAAAATCTGAAAGAGAAAACAGTTCTAGCTTATTTCCACGTAAAATTTTTACTGGCTAATATGCTCTCAGCAAATGACTAAGGACTTAAAAGGTACTCTGATTTTATCTAGTTTCAATCTGAACATAAGAAGGTATTCTCCAAAAAGTTATTTTAGAAAGCAAAATTCCAGGAGATGGTTCCGTGGGTTAAGGGCCTGAAGACCGAGTTCAGATCTTTGCACCACATAAAAAGCCAGGTGTAGCAGCGTGCATCTGTAATCCCAGCACTGGGGAGAGACAGGAGAATCCTTGGAGTTCACTGTCCTGCCAACTTAGCCCGTTGTCGAGCTTTAGGTTCAGTGAGACCCTGTATCCAGATAAGGCAGAGGAGCTAGAGACGGCTCAGCAGCTAAGAGCACATGCAGCGCACAGCCATCTGCAGCTCCAGCCCCAGGAGGAGGAGTGGCTCTTCTAACCTCCACAGGCATGCATGTGATGCAGACATGCATGCAGGCAACACAGCCGTACACAAAAAATAAAAATAAAGAAAAAAAAACTATAAAAAACAAGGCGGAGAACACCACAGACAGACACCTAAGGCCTCCACATGTACATGTGTAGGGAGAGTGGAATATGCCCAGACAACGCACATCTCATCTGGGGACACTGCTCACTCAGTGGGCTGGTTGTCTAGTACAGCATGAAGGCCTCACTCTAACCCCTAGAACCCTGGACTCTTGGAGTCTCAACGCTGGAGAAGCAGTGGAACCTGTGTGGATCCCTGGGGCTGGCTGAGCAGCCAACCTAGAGTTCCGGTGAGAGAACCTGCCTCAGGAAACAAGTCAGGCCAGGCGTGGGGGTGCACACCTTTGATCCCAGCTCGAAGTAGTCAGAGGACAGTGAATCTGTTAAAGGCCAGCCTGGTCTACATACAGAGTTCTAGGCCAACCAGGACTAAACAATAAGGCTCTATCTTAAGGAAAAAAATTTAAACAAACAAACAAACAAACAAGGTAGCAGCTCTTGAAAAAAGACATCAGAGGCTGATCTCTACAGTTGGCTCATCCTTCCTCCCTCTTCCCCCGCCATCCCATCTCTCTCCCTCTTCCCCTCGCTCTAAAATTCATTTATACTCTCCCTCCCCCATCAAAATTCCTGCTACCAAAAACCAAGGTTTCTTGGAAGACTGGGTAAACAAGACTTTTACTTATCTTACCTGTGTCTATTCCACCTGCTATACTTAAACATTTAAAAGATTTTGCTTTTAGAAAGATTAAAAGAAGAAATTACTAAGGCAGGTTTAGTGGCCTAGGCTTGTAGTCCTAGCACTCAGGAGGCAGAGCTGGAGAATCAGAAGCTCAAGCCCATGCCAGAATGTAGATCAAGTGTGAGGCCAGCCTTTCTGACACACTACTGTCCGTCTCAAGGGAACAAGATCAAAGCACTGAGGACAGGCCTCCACCTTAAGAACACTTATGAGCTTCGCCCTCGGTGCCTTCTCTCTCTTGAGAAATTCGTATAAGTAGATGTGGGCATTGGGGTTTGACGGGAACTTCTCATCGTACGCGTAATTGGTAAGCATCTCTCGGGCGCCATCTTTATCACCATAGAACTCCAGCATCTGTATAAAATAAAGTGAGCCTTAAGTTAATTCTGTAAAAAAGCCCCACAAAAAGATATGCGCTTACTGCTGAGAACAGCAGCAAAAATAAATAAAAGTAATAAAACCCATGAAGGGACAACAGGGTACAGTGGACGGTGGCCACACCACACACAGCCAGGCCACACCACAGGAGCTCTGCTCTTCTAGCACCCCGACAACTTCACACGGCAGGCAAAGGCCCACACGTGGGCTCCTTTCTTCCTTGTATTTGTTCCTGGAAAATGTACACCTTCAAGGTAAGCACTGTTCACACAAGAACCCCATGTGCCCAAAGCAGAGAACAGCAACGACCAAGAATGTCATCTGCTGTGTCAGCGCCCTCAGAGAGTCAGAGCCCTCGGAGAGTCACCCTAAGGAGTGCATGAGAATTACAGCCTCTGTCTGGAAGAGGCTCAAGAGGAACTAATCATCCCCTGAGAACAAAACGGCACCTCAGCACTCACTTTCACAGACCTGCACCTGAGCCCTCGGTCCTTCTGCAGTGACTCTGAAAGACTGGGCCAGCTTCGCACTTCCTCACCCATATGCTGTGATTTAGGTTCTGTCTTTACCCCCTTCTCTCCTACATGCCACTATGTCTTTAGCAAGTATGCTGTCTTTTCTTTATAATAAAAGCCCAGACTCAGACTTGCCAATCACAGTTACATCGCTATGCACTTTACAGGTATCTGGCCATGACAGGTCTAGTACTGATCTTTCTCACATGGCAACAAAAACGTGACCAAAGCATCTAAAAGAAGGACTTAACCACGTGGTAGTGGCACATGCCTTTAATCCCACAACTCAGGAGGCTGAGACAGGTGGATCTCTGAATTCAAGGCTAGCCTGGTCTACAGAGCAAGTTCCAGCACAGTCAAGTCAAAAAAATAAAATAAAATAAAAGGGGGGGGGGAGAAGAGAGAGAGAGGAGAGGAGGAAGGAGAGGAGGAAGAGGAGGAAGAAGAGGAGGAAGAAGGGGAGGAAGAAGAAAGATTTATCTGCATGTAGAGTTCAGAGGTTCAGATCCATCAAGACAGAAGACAGGGCTGAAGAGAAAGCACAGAGCACCTCTGTCACATGACACTAACCAGAAGGAGACTGGGAACAGAACCCTCCTTAGTGACCCACCCCTACAGCTAGGCCCTAGCACATAAAGGTTCCACAGTCTCACAAAGCTAGTGACCAATCATGTGAGTCTGTGGGACATTTCACTTTCCAACCATAAACATTATCCGGTGTAAAAGTAAGTAAGACCTGCACAGCGTGTTCAGAAAATAGGCAAAAATTATTTACACTAAGAAAGAGAGAAAACTGCCATTTTCTCTACTAGCCTCCTCTGACTAAATGACAAAATCAAACTACCACAATCTTGTCCTTTGTTTTTGAGACAGAGTTGTATTACGCATGTAGCTCAGGCTAACCTGGAGCTCACTGTATTCCTCAAGCTGGCCTCAGACCTGCAGCGACCCTGCCTCGGGCTTCTCAGTGCTGGCACTACAGTGTGTCCCCGCCCTGTCCTGTGGAAAGTCACTTACCTCCACATAACTCTTCACAAAAGGATCCCAAACCCCAGGGGTTTTCATCAGAGCACACAGGTTTGTAGATGTCTTGCAGCTCTGGCTGAGCATGTTTCGGGATTTTGCGGTATAAGCGTAATCATCTTCATCTGCTCAAAAGTAAGAGATTCAGAAGGTCACTTTAGAGAACCCAGAAGCAGAGCTCAGGGTTGGTGGGTCACTGGTAAGCTCTAACAAGTGCAGAGGACTGGTGCCTCCCCAACAGGGTACTTGCCACATATAAGAGCAATTACAGACCACAGCCAAGGTTAGCTTAGCAGCTGACGATCAATTACTGTGAATGACGAAGAGCCACCCTCTAAACCAGATCAATGAGCAGTCACCAAGAGAGGCAGAAGACGACCTTCAATCTAGGAATAGAAGGACTTAATCTGAATTTTAAATTAAATTTTAAAATTTAATTTAAAAAATAGCTGTTCAGTGTGGTGGCTCATGCTTTTAATCCCAGCGCTCAGGAGGCAGAAGGAGGTGAACTTCTGTGAGTTCAGGGCCAGCCAGCTCTACAGAGTGAGTTCCAAGACACACAGAGTTCTGTTAACTCTAACAAGCTCGGTGAAATCTGAGAAAATGGCAAGACATCCTCTTTAACGACTTCTTTTCACTGCACTAGGTTTGCATCAGGGCAATAAAGCAAGAAAACACAATGACTCCTACACTGCAAAGGAAGTAAAAATTATCTCTATGAAAATGACAAAAATACATTGTCATTGATACATAAATTGTCATAATATACTGATACATAATACATTGTCATTGATACATAAATACATTGATACATAGCCCTGATATATAAATTACCCCCCCCCCCACAAATCCATTAAAAACTCTTAAGAGTCTGGGAGCTAGAGATAGCTCAGAGGTTAAGAGCACTGACTGCTCTTCCAGCAGACCAGGGTTTGATTCCCAGCATCTATCTGTTTCTCACAACCATGGATATGTCTAGTCCCAGGGGACCTGATGCTATCTTCTGGCCTTGGCAAGCACCAGGCATGCATGTGGTGCATAGACATATGCAGACACTACATATAAATTAATTTTTAAAAATTTTATAAGCTTAGAAATAAGAGCAGAAATACTTAGAAATAAGAGCAGATTACTGATGTGGGAAAAATGATGTAAGAAAAAACAAAAAGCAGACCCCTGGCATTGCTTAGGTTTAAAGGAAGTCACCAATCACCAAGCTCTTCAGACCTGACAGGCAGAGCTGCAGCTGCACCAGATGCAGGTCCTCAGGCTGCACCCTCCGGAGCTGCTACAGAAGCTAGTGTTTTTACCTCTACTGCTGGATTTTAAGTTTTTGGTTTTGTTGTTTTGGTTTTTTTAGAGAGTGGGGGTTAGGGGGAGGGTCTCACTGGCAGTTCTGGAAACCAGGCTGTCCTAAGACTCAGAGATCCACCTACCTCTGTCTCCAGAGTGCTGGGATTAAAGGCATGAACTACCATCACCATCTTACCTGTGGTTACCTGTGACAGAATTACATTAAACTAGCAATGACTCTAAAATATTTAGTCACCACTGAAACTACCTATCCTGTGGGCAGGAATGGTTGTGGGGTTTTGTTTTCTTCATTAAAGACATTTGAGATTAGGTGTCTGAAAGTTCCACCCATTATTTGACCCACAATCTTACTAGAGAATAAAGCATGAACTACATGAAAAAATGCATCATCTACCCATGAGAGTGGTGCACACCACGATCCAGCCACCACATAACCTGCTTGAGTTCTAGTGTCACATGTAAGAAAAAAGTAACAACTTTAACTCAATCAATTCACACCAGTGTGTTTTTGTTTGCTTGCTTGTTTTTTTTTTTTGAGACACGATCTTGTAATACAAGCCAGCCTAACCAAAAACTCACCGAGGGCTCAGCCTCCCCAGAGCACAGGTGAGATGAGTGGTCTGTGGCCCACACTGCCCGGCTGTCCCTCCATCAGAGAGCTGAGCTTGCTGACTCACCAAGTTCTGACAACTCCGTCTTCTTTCTGGACCAAGTGTAGTACTGTAAAAGCCCTTTGTAGGCCTGAACAAGGTTGATCAACACTTCCTGAGAAGATGACTTTTCACCATACCTCCATGTCTCGGCCTCACTTAGATTTCTGCTGGCATCCTCAAGCATTCCATGATGTAAAAGATACAAGGCGTGTTGTAAGGAGATCTGCACCAAGAGGAAAAACCCACTGTCGCTGAAGTCATTACACAACTATTAGTCAGAAAACTCAGGAAAGAGATAACATATGCTGGCCTACTCCTGAAAATTGTGAATTAGAACCTTCATGTAAAACTGGAGGCTGATCTGGGCAGTGGTGCAAACCTTCAATTCCAACACTCAAGAAAGGCAGAGGCAAGTGGATCTCTGAGTTTGAGGTCAGCCTGGTCTACAGAGTAAGTTCCAAGGACAGGCATGGCTATACAGAAAACAAACAAACAAACAAACAAACAAAAAAACCCAAAAACCAAAAAACTCTGTCATGTATATTTTTCAGTTAAGCAAAGAAAGGCAGGTAAAACAACTAACACTATAACACTATGCAAATGATGTAAAATTCTGTAATACAGAATACAGTGCAACACAGTGAGAAAACTGGGCATAAGGCCACATCACAAGCCTGAACTAATCAATCACTCAATGCTTCCCCTTCACCCTTCACAGGAGACGGGTCAAGAGTAAATAATAAGCTTTTTATACATCTAATGCCTGCTTGGTTCACAGCAGACAACAGTCTAACAACTTCATACATGCTGAGTACACTAAAATATATTCTGTCAAGGAGTGGTGAAGAATGAACTTAGTTCAGGTGGGAAAGAGTATCCCTGAAACAAAAGCAAAAATAACTGCAGAAATTGGTGGCACTCATCTGTAATCCCAGCACCAGGAAGGCTGAGGTAGGACTATGGGTTTGAAACTAACCTGGGCTACATAGCAAGGCCTCGGCTTTTTAAAAAAACCAACCAAACAAAAAAAAATGGTGTGTGTGTGGGGGGGGGGGGGGGGCTTCTAGGGAGATGACTCAGTGGGTACACTATGCTGAGAAAGCTAAAGCCTGAGGCAGAGTCTGGACCTCCAGCACCCACAGAACAAGTCAGGTACACATGGGGTGGATACAGGACCCCGGAGCAAACTGGCTAGCCAGACTGTATAGCCAACACCAGTTAGCTCTGGCCAACAAGAAACTTGCCTCAATAGGTAAGGTGGAGGGTGATCAAGATCCCAAGTGTCAACCTCAGACCTCCAGACTCACACACGCACACGTGCACCCACACACACATGCACACCACACACCAAACACACAAATCAGAAAGTTGAACAAGTGAAAACAAAACCAAGAACCAGGAATACAAATTCTGTCTTCAGACACACCAGAAGAGGGCATCAGATTCCGTTACAGATCATTGTAAATCACCATGTGGTTGCTGGGAATTGAACTCAGGATCTCTGGAAGAGCAGTCGGTGCTCTTAACCACTGAGCCATCTCTCCAGCCCCAGGAATGCAAATTCTAAGCTTTGCAGGCCACATGGTTTTCGTCCCATTTATGCAACCTATGGCCAAGCTCTTACACAACTTTAAAGTCTTGAAAAAAAAAAAAACCCAATAAATTATTTATAAAATTACAAAAGAAGAGTAGTGCTGTTTAATTAGGAGTATATACAGAGAAGGGGCTATATTGTGCAATGTTCTCAATCCACTTTGCAAAAACAAAAAAAAATTCTTGCCTTATTTAAAGACAAGACTGCAGAGAAGGTTCTATACAAACATTTGCTATGTTACAACATTTGAATATGGTCAAGTTCCTAACTTGTTCCACAGGTATTTTTGTTTTGTTTCTCAAAAACGCCAGCTCAGCTCAAGTAACTCCCAACTGTAGGGCCTGTGTACACAAGTGAAGCGCAGCCTCAGCTCCGACAGCCAGAGGCAGACTGAGGGCTGCAGTCCGACCACAGAAGCCGGTTGGAACCGGGTGTGAGCCATGCTCAGAGCACTGCTCTCCTGCTGCTCCTTTACCAGTAGCTCTCATCTATTGCCTGTGATTTTCTGTCTTAGCATTGATACAAGCAATGAAAAACAAACACACATTAAAACCTAAATTTAAAAGTCTGTATTCTCACCTTTAAATAATTCAAGACACCAATATTTTTCATTCGGTCAGCGAAGCTATTAAAAGTCTCCACGTTGCTTTTGGGGTGGTAAAACAGAATTTCACTTCCAAGCTTCCAAATGATCTATCAAAGCAGAAACAGCAAAATAATTAATTCTTACCCAATCCAGTTTCTTCTTCCTACAATATTTTGTTTTTCCTGGTTATAATATTTAAAAGCAACTTATAATTACTCTCCATGGAAACCAGCACTGCCAGGTTTTGCCATACTTCACCTAGTAAACCAGCACTCTTAACTAGGTGATAATTATTCCATCTCAAAATACCAGTGTGCTGGTGACGTTTCTGTTGCTGTGATAAAATACCATGACCACAGCAACTTTTACAAGGAAGTGAGTACTCAGGCTTACAGTTCCAGAGAGCCAGTCAGTCCATGATGGCACGAGCAAGAGGCTCACACCTTGAACGGCAAGCAGGAAGCAGAGAGCAGACTAGAATGGTGTGGATCTTTGATTCTGAAAGCCTCCGTGACAGACATACTTCTTCCAGCGAGGCTCTGCCTCCTGAACCTCCCAACAGTGCCCCAAAGGGAACCAGGGTCAATGCTGGAGCCTACGGGGCATTCTCATTCATGCCACCATTCCACGTAAGAAGAGCAGTGCCATGGCTGAGTTAGTGCTCTTTAAAGGCCCCATTAAGACGCATATTAAATGTGAACTTAACCTCAGTCTAAAACCACTCCTGTGGAAACGCAGAACCAGACATGCCTGCATTCCCTGAAATCGCATCCACACTGAGTATATGTGCTATGCATTTAGGATGTCCATCTAAGAATATTTATAAAAAAGGCAAATGTTAATGATGTATTGTTCTCAGACTACATTTTGGTTACAGAACTTGAGCTCTGCTTTCTTAAGGGAGCAAATGTCTACCCCTCTCTCAACCTAAAGTAAGTTAATAAAATCAGGTGTCTTTTTTAGAAAGAAAGAAAGAAAGAAAGAAAGAAAGAAAGAAAGGAAGGAAGGAAGGAAGGAAGGAAGGAAGGAAGGAAGGAAGGAAAAAAAATCTTGCCTCTGCCTCCTCCTGCTGAGGCAAAGGTGTGCACCCCCACACCTGACTTTTTATACACCAGGAGTGCTGGCAAAAAGCAGGGATGAGTAAGTTGCTTACGGGGCCTTGAGTGAGGGCGGAAGGGCTGAAGAAAGATCCTTCCGAGTAAAGGAAATGATTGTCAAGGAGCGCACCTGACCTGTTCATTAAACGCAGAACAGTGAGGCTGGAGAAGAAAATCCAAGACACACTTCACAACTTCAAGTATCAAAAAAAGAAAAAAAGACAGGAATGGCTAGCTCATGTTTCTCAGCTTCAGGATGCTTAGACAGAGGACTGTCAGGTTTAAACAGAGAACTGCTGGAAACCCAAGTCTGAAGTCATCATGGTATCCAGATTTAAAAAAAAAAAAAAAAAAAAAGAAGATACCAACATCAATAATAATGTGAAGAAATCAGAACATTAAATATTGTCGGTAGAAATAGAAAATGGCAAAGCCATTTTGGTAAAAAAGTTTGGTAGAATGTTAAGAAATTAAAAATATAACCTAGAATTCCACTACCCAGTATTTATCAAAGAGAAATTAAAGAAAGCATCATGCGAAACCACATACATGAACGTTCAGGGAACCCACTGAAGAACACGTTAATATGTGGCAGTCCACACAATGGAAACTGACAGTGAAGGGCTAAGCCAGACTTGGTGGTAGAATTCTAGGATGCAGGAAGCTGAGGCAGAAGGAGCAAAGGCTACTGAGGGTGGGCAGTGCTGTGTCCCGCAGATGCACTTGTGTACCTCAGGGGCAGCCTGTCTCTTGTAGGTGTCAGAGTCCTCCAGGGTCTGCAGGTAACTGTGCATATACTCTGCAGCTTGCTGCCACTGGTGCTTCAGGAGGGCTTCCTGGATAAAGCTTAAACAAGTACTTGTCGTCTGAGCAAAATCCTTCTTCCTCTTCCCTCCAGTCACTGTAGCAATGAACACAAGGAGAACCGCTCGAACTGACTCACTCCACTCAGCTTCAATAGACACAAGATTTAACAAGGGCAGTGGTCCCACTGACTTAGCATTCCCAGTACCAGTCCCACTGACTTAAAACAAGCCCTGCCACACAGTGTTAGCTTTAGGCCTCCCGACCCACAAAAGGATGCTGACGGGTAGTCCTGGGCGGGTCTTATGCAAGCAGCCACCGCTGCTATACATTCAGTCTTTCCATACTCTTGAAACTGGCTCATACAGAAACGCAAAGAAAAATTTAAAACCCAATCTGACCATGAGGACACATGACTGCAATCCAAGCACCATGGAGGCTGGCAGAACTCTAAGTCCAAAGACAGCATGGGTGACATAAGGAAAGTCTGTCTCAAAAAAAACCAACCAACCAACCAAACTAACAAACAAATGAGATGGGCTACCAGTGATTTAATAAACAACATGGATACAGTCTTCCAAAGAAACAGGCCCAAGCATTTAAAATGAGTAAAAGTCAACAATGCTATCCTAGTGAAATAGTCTTTATTACCTACTAATGTTCCAAAAACCCCAAGAGAACTTTTTTTTTTAAAGGATCAAGTTTCCAGTAATTCAGTGATAGTAAATGCATAAAGATTAGAAGAACCGTAAGCACTAGCACCTCTTAGGTCTGTAAAGTACTGGCACTCTCCATGGGAAAGGTACTTGGGCTTCGTCACACTATTACACTGTCAGAGTCAGGTTAAGCTGGTGCTCCTTTTGCCTTCTGACAGGTCCTGTTTAGCCAGCTGTCTTTTTCTTTTTCTGTTTTTGTTTTGTTCCTGGTTTCTTGGTATTCACATGGCCCAAGGCTGACCTCAAGCTCACTCTGCAGCAAAGTATGACTTGGGACTCTTTCTTCCTTGTCTCAAAAATCCTGGGATTACAGGTGTGCCTGACCATGCCTGGCTCTGGGCTCTAGTCTTTCAGCTAGATAACCTTATTTAAGCAAGTGGCTAGGGACCAGCAGGTGCTTCTAAAATACTGTAGGTGGGCACCGGCGAGGTTCTCAGGTTAAGATCATACTCTTAAGAGTAGGCCTGAGAATTCAATTCCTAGCACCTTGTCAGATGGCTCACAATCACTTTTAACTCCAGACCAGGAAATCTGACACCCCCTTCTGGCCTCTGTGGGCACCACATACATGGTGTACACACACACACACACACACACACACACACACACACACACACACACA